ATGAAGCACTACACCAAATGGATTTAATAGATATCTACAGAGAATTATACCCCAAAACTACAGAATACACATTCTTCTCAAGTGCACATGGACATTCTCAAAGATAGACCACATGATAGGACACAAACTAAATCTCTACAAGTTCAAGAAGATTGAAATTATATCAAGCATCTTCTCAGATCACAATGGCATGAAACTAGAAATCAATTGCAACAAGAACATGCAAAGACATTTCAACACATGGAGGCTAAATAGAATGTTATTAAACAATGAATGGGTCACCGAGGAGATCAAGGAAGAAATTAAAAACTTCCTGGAAACCAATGAAAATGAACACACAATAACACAAAATCTATGGGATACAGCGAAAGCAGTTCTGAGAGGGAAGTTCATACCACTACAGGCCTACCTCAAAAAACAAGAAAAATTTCTAATTGACTGTCTAACCTCATGAGTTAAAGAATTAGAAAGCAAACAAAAAGAAAACCCCAGAGCAAGTAGAAGGAAGGAAATAGTAAAGATCAGAGCAGAAATAAATGACATAGAGACCAAAATTCAATTCAAAGGATCAATGAAACAAAAAGCTGGTTTTTTGAAAAGATAAACAAGATTGATGGACCCTTAGCTAGACTCACCAAGAAACAAAGAGAGAGAACCCAAATACACAAAATCAGAAATGAAAGAGGAGAAGTAACAACCAACACCACGGAAATACAAAAGATCGTTAACAACTACTATGAACAACTATATGGCAACAAATTCGACAATATAAGCCAAATGGACAAATTTCTAGAAACACACAGTCTCCCAAAACTGGACCCGGAAGAGATAGAAAACTTGAACAGACCAATAACAACTAAAGAAATTGAAGAGGTAATCAAGACTCTCCCAGCAAACAAAAGCCCAGGCCCAGATGGTTTCACGGGGGAGTTTTACCGAACATTTAAAAAAGAACTAACACCCATTCTCCTCAAATTATTTCCAAAAATTCAAGAAGAAGGAAGACTTCCAAACACATTCTATGAGGCCAGCATAATTCTAATTCCAAAACCAGAAAAAGACTACGAAGAAAGAAAACTACAGGCCAATATCCCTGATGAACATAGACGCCAAAATCCTGAACAAAATATTAGCAAATCAGATCCAGAAATACATAAAAAAAAATTATTCACCATGACCAAGTGGGATTCATTCCAGGGATGCAAGGCTGATACAATATTTGCAAATCAATAAATGTGATACATCACATAAACAAAATGAAGAATAAAAACCACATGATCATATCAATAGATGCTGAAAAAGCATTCGACAAAAACCAGCATTCATTTCTGATAAAAACGCTCAGCAATGTGGTAATAGAGGGATCATATCTCGACATAATAAAGGCCATATATGAAAGACCTACAGCCAACATCATACTCAATGGACAGAAACTAAAAACATTTCCATTAAGAACAGGAACAAGACAGGGATGTCCACCCTCACCATTCTTGTTTAACATTGTACTGGAAGTCTTAGCCATAGCAATCAGACATGAAGAAAAAATAAAAGGGATCCAAATTGGAAAGGAGGAAGTGAAACTGTCATTATTTGCAGATGACATGATATTATACATAGAAAACCCTAAAGACTCCATCAAAAATCTACTAGACTTAATAAATAAATTTGGCAAAGTAGCAGGATACAAAATTAACGTCAAGAAATCGACGGCATTCTTGTACATCAATGATGAACTCACAGAAAGAGAAACTGAAAAAACAATCCCATTTACCATCGTGCCAAAAAAATTAAGATACCTAGGAATAAACTTAACCAAAGAAGTAAAGGACCTATTTGCAGAAAACCACAGGTCATTGAAAAAAAGAAATAGAGGAAGATATAAAAAAGTGGAAGCACATACCCTGTTCATGGATTGGAAGAATTAACATCATTAAAATGTCCATACTACCCAAAGCAATCTATAGATTCAATGCAATCCCCATCAAAATACCAACGACATATTTCATAGAACTAGAACAAATACTTCAAAAGTTCATATGGAACCAAAAAAGACCCCGAATAGCCACAGCAATCTTGAAAAAGAAGAACCAAGTAGGTGGGATCACAATATCAGATATCAGGTTATACTACAAAGCGACTGTAACCAAAAGAGCCTGGTACTGGCACAAGATCAGGCATATAGACCAGTGGAACAGAACTGAAAACCCAGAAATGGACTCAAGGCAACACGCTCAATTAATATTTGACAAAGGTGGCAAGAGCATACAGTGGAGTAAAGACAGCCTCTTTAAGAAATGGTTTTGGGAAAATTGGACAGCTACATGTAAAAAAATGAAACTAGAACATCAACTTACACCATACACAAAAATAAACTCAAAATGGATAAAAGACTTAAATGTGACCCGTGAATCCATAAAAATCCTAGAAGAAAATGTAGGCAACAAAATTTCGGACATGATACGGAGCAGAACTTTCACTGATACATCACCTAAGGCAACAGAAACAAAGGAAAAAATGAACACATGGGACTACATCAAACTCAAAAGCTTCTGCACAGCAAAAGAAACAATCATCAAAATGGAAAGGCAACCCACTGTATGGGAGAACATCATTGCCAATGATGTATCAGATAAGGGGTTAATTTCCAATATATATAGAGTGCTCATACAACTCCACAAAAGGAAGACAAAGAACCCAATTAAAAAACGGGCAGAGGAGCTGAATAGACACCTCTCCAAACAGGACATACAAATGGACAAGAGACATATGAAGAAATGCTCAACATCACTAATCATCCAAGAATTGCAATTTAAAACAACAATGAGGTATCACCTCACACCTGTCAGAATGGCCGCCATCAACAAATCATCAAACAACAACTGATGGCGAGGGTGTGGAGAAAAGGGGACTCTAATACACTGCTGGTGGGAATGCAGACTGGTGCAGCCGCTGTGGAAAACAATATGTTACCTCAAAAAATTAAAAATTGAACTGCCATTTGACCCAGCGATCCCACTTCTAGGAATATACCCTAAGAAGCCTGAAACACCTATCAGGAAGAATATATGTACCCCCATGTTCATAGCAGCACTATTTACAATAGCTAAGATCTAGAAACAGCCCAAGTGTCCATCAGTAGACGAATGGATAAAAAAACAGTTGTACATATACACAATGCAGTACTATGCAGCAGTAAGAAAGAAAGATCTCTTATCCTTTGAGACGACATGGAGGTACCTGAAAAGTATTATCCTAAATGAAATAAGCCAAGCAGAAAGAGACAAATACCACATGATCTCACTTATATACGGAATATAATGAACATAACAGTCTGAGGAATACAGTAGACCCAGAAACATGGAAGTAGGGCAAAGACTGACATCCCTCAGAACAGGGGGTGGAGGGGGGGTAGGAAGAGATAAACCAGAGAACTTATATGCATGTATGCATGACCAATGGACATGGACAACTAAGCAGCGGACAGGGCGGGGATGGGGTGGGGGGGGTGCCAATGGGGTAAAAAAGGTAAAATATCTGTAACAAATAAATAAATAAATAAATAAATCAGTAAATAAATAAATAAATAAATAAATGACGAAACAGCTGGATCCTAGAGGTGCAAAGAGGTTCACTCAAGGTCTCAGAGTCAATTATCAGTAAGGATGTGCACAAGACTGGCTCCAGGATGGTTCTTTGCTCCCTCCTGGCCCATGGCCTTTGTCTGTCCTTCTCTTACAATAGTGTTCATGACTCACCTGCCCAGTTGCCGCTGAGAAGCTTTCCTAACCCCACTCCTCCTGGAGCAGCTAGCTCTTCAACCTCTGTGATGTATAACTGGTAATACTCCTTGTCGACAGCGTTAGTGGTCACTCCCCTGTCCTCTGATCAATCTCATTTGATGCTGGTGACCACTTCCTGCCTTCTGGGAGCGCAGGAAATGTTTTCAGGAGATGTGAAACTGGGTTGTTCTGGTGCGCACCTCTGTCACTGAGGCCCATAGGCGACTGCAGATTCTCCAAGGCGCTAGGTGCGAGGCCCCAAATTCCAGGCCTCAAGGTCGGGGCACCGCCCCCTCCAGGCCTCTGTGGCGCTGATTGGCTGGCCTGGTAAAGGCAACAAGATGGAGGGGCAGCCACTAACCCGCCCTCCTCATCTCTGCGGGGGCGCGCCCGTGGCACGCGACTGGGCAGGGCCGAGGGTGAGTGACGGCTGCGTGGTCCAATGGGGCGGGCGCGCGCCGCCGCCAGCTCGGTCCCTGACGTACGCCAGGGCGCCTTGCCCCGGCTGCTGCAGGCGGCGACGGCTGCACCATGGGCGAGTTACTAAGGGCTGACCCGCGACCACCATTGCTGCAGCCGCTCCTCCTGCTGCTGGCAGGCGGTGAGTGCGCGCTGGCATCCGGAGGGAGGCGATGGGGCTAGTCCGGAGGACTGCAGGCCGCCGTGCTGGACAGCTCCTAGCCACTAACAAAGGACCAGCATGGGACGGGAGCGCGGTCTGGGTGGGCTGTGGCACGGTCCTTCCGCCACAGGCGCGCTCGCGGGGGTGGCGGGGGGGGGGGGGGGGGGGGGGGGGGGGGCGCATGTCCCTGCAGTGTGAGTGGCTCCATGAGTGAGCGCCACACCCACACATACACAAATCAAGGAGTGAGCCCGGAGTGTCGCCAGGTGCTTGAGCATGCCCCCTGCGGCTCTGAACGAGGGGTATTCGGGGGCTGGCCCTGTGACTAAGAGGAGGGCGAAGGGGTTCACCAGCCTCTGAGACAGCCACACAAGAATGGGAGACAGCATTTAAAGGTCCCATGGGGCCGCGACAGTGAGCGTGGGGTGGGAATGCCTGCGGCTGCGAGGGGAGACTACCAAAAAGCTTCTACATACAGTTGCTGCGACAGTGGGGAGTGTGTTTACGTGTATGTGGTGTTCCTGGACAGGAGGAGGGGTGTGTCATTGTGAATGCGTATCCTCGGCTGTGTTGAGCAACTTACTGTATTAGGAACTTACAAAAAAAGAGGTATGGCAGCTCCAGAAGGTCTCTGTGACATTGACAGTGATGGATAGCTCCTGCGCAGCTAACAGCAGGGATGTGTGAGAGATAATTTCCATTCAGCAGTTACTCAAGGGCGCTGGAATATATGTGGGTGATGATAGGTTGGAGGTGTGCAATGGATGTGCCTGTGAGAAAGAGACAGAGCCTGAGAACAGCTTCTGAGAGGCATACTTGGGATTTTGGTGTGTGTGTATGGGGGGAGGAGCGCACAAGGTATGTGACAGAATGCGGGTAGGAAGAAGGGCTGTCTGCAAGAGTGGGTCAAATCAGGACATGGCTAAATAGCTTCTCCACGTAGCTGACAGAGTAATGGGGAGAGGTGTCATGAGGGTCTGATTGGTAATTGTTATTGGTGGAAAAGAGAACTGAAATGTGTGCATGCTTGTGTGTGTGCACTCCTATATCAGATAGCCTAAAATGACTTCACTTCCAATGAACACACAGGGGTATAACATGTTTATATTTAGCAGTGTGCCCGGGACAGGGACTAATAGGTACTTCCCATAGAGTTAACTCACAAAGACAGGCATATTATGTGATGTGTGTGAGTGGAATAGAGACTTGTGAAGGATCTTCCTGAGGGGAGGAAGTCTGCTTGATGGTGGCAATGAGATGTGCCATTACCGACAGAATCCTAGCCACTAGGACCATAGCGACAGAATCCCAAGAAAAATGTCTGGGATGGGAAAGGGGCCACTCCTGAGCATATCCCAAGAAGACTCAGTTCAGCAGGGGTACTTTTTCTCCACTGTCAATCAGGGATGGGTAAGGACCTAAGTGGTGTGCACAGAAAAAGTGTCCACAAGTGTTTCTTTCAGACACTCACACACACTTACCCCCATATTTGCTTATCTTAAGTCCTCCTTGAAGAAGGTGAGAATCAACAAATAAATTAAATACTAATTAATTTACTAATTCTTTTTATGACAGCCACACTGGAACTGGCCAGCAAAGTGTGTCAGGACCCATGCCCATTTGTGACTGCATGTACCCTTACATGGCTAGCCGTGGATTACTGTGGGCAACTTTTCTCCCTTCTATTCTTTCTACCTTTTCCTTCCTCCCGTATTCTCCCCTCATGACATACATTATTACCTCCATGTATGAACCACATGTGCCTATTTAGCAGTATGTCTCTTTCTTACACACCTTTGTGTGGAAACTCTACAAAAACTCTTCAGCATTGTTTCTCCGACATGTACAGACCACACACATGAGTATAAGTATGTATGTGGTAAGGTGACAGTGCTAGGCAATTTCCGTTGTAGCTGGCACGCAAGGGTGTGACGGCTGTGTAACAGACACTGTGGGCTGCTCCAGTATTGGTGTCTGGCAAGGGCTTAGAGAGATCTGGACTTCAGAGTTGCTGATTAGAAGGAGGGTAGGGATGGAGCTGATGGTGGAAATCAGAAAAGGGTGTTTGGATCAGGAGCAGACTGCAGGGAAGATAAAACATTGAATTACTAAGGCCTTGTTTTTACACGCCCCAAGATATAAGCCTGTTCATTTGCCTGTTTTTCTGAGTGTATTTGGATCAGATTTTCAATTATTTGAGGCTGATCCTCAAATCCTTTTATGTCCCTTATTTTTCTCTTCCTTACTCTGTTGGCAGTGGTGAAGTAACAGAAAATTACAGGTGTTAGAGAAAAAATCAATTACAAAGAGTATATTCTGAAATTTTAAATCAGGTCGGGTCTCAATTAAGGCAGATTAGTTAAGTGCAAAAGTGGTTACATCTTATCTACTATTTTGATAGGCAAGTTTGAAAATAAGTAACCTCTTGTAACAACCTAAATAATTACCCATTGCCAAGGCTTTTGAAAATACCAAGGTCTATAAAAAGAAAAAATATGGAAAAGTAACGTCAAAAACATGGAACTGTTTGTTGTAGAAAGAATGAAAAACTATATTCCTTTTTTTTACACACAGCTTTTCAGCAAGGTTATCAAAATTTTATCCCCAGAGGTGGGAAATCAACAGGATTGCTGGTCAGACTTTCCTCAAGAGGACGGACACAGTTTTCTCAAGATCCAAGGGGTCTTGGAGAGCCTGGCCGAAGCCTAGAGGCTGTGACTTGTCTACCACCCCACCACAGTTCAGCTCTGAGAAAAACAGTTCTTAGATTTTGAAGAGGCAATGTATGTTTGATCCTCTAGTTGTTTTGTGAAAGGTAAAATTCCAAGAATTTAAAAAATCAGTTTGCACTTTTCTAAAAGTGCTAAAGTAATATCTTTCCCAACATACCTGAAAAAGACTGGTATATGTAGATAAAGATCTTCACTTCATGGCCCTCTCAAAAATTGGCTGTGCAGGTACCCTTGGAACCTGTAAAATTTCTGCTATTTAATTATTACAAACATTTCTCATTGGTCCACTTTCCCCCTCCCCTGGACTGCATGAGTTTTTCCGTATTAGTTTCTTGTATTTGTTTTCCTCACCCTAGGGACATCACCTCTGCAGAGTAGGACTGTTAAGTCAGCTGATATCTTATATAAAACTTAGATTACCAGTTTTACTAGACTTAGAAATGACCAAACAGTGGTCATTTTCCCTAGGGCAGAGGATGTCTCATATTTATCCTTGTATCTTCAGAGAGTGCCTGGTATAATATGTGACACGGAAGGAGCTCAGGGTTGACCATATTCTTCTGTGTAACTGAAAGTCTAATGAAAATGTTATCTCCAACTACACACTACAGCCTACCTAAAAGCAAAGTTTAATTCTAATTGGCATTGTATCTAATTGGCATATTATATGATTCTGATTTACTTTTTAAAAAAGAATGAGTACAGTTTTATAGATCACATATTTCCAAACATAGGTTACACACAGAAATATAAGTAAAGGGGATTCTTGGTGAAAATATAAGGATCCACTCTACTGACTTGAGGTCTTTTATAAGAGGAAAGATTCCTACACTCCGAGCCATCATGTTTTGGATTTTCCCTGAGGAAAATAATGTCTTTCAGTCTTTAGCTCTGGCCTCTTTCTTGACTCCTTAACTCCTATGAAGTAGTTATGCTATTTTGGGCATTCTCTTTCTTTATGTATACTTTGGAAGAAGGGTACCTAGCCTAGCAACTGATAGCTTTCCAGTCTTTTTTCATGGAGGATCAGCAAGACCTTTTTGTGGGGAGAAACAACTAAATTACAGCTCTTCTATTAACTAGCTACTTGACCTTAATCTCATGAGGCTTCAGTTATTTCATCTGTAAAACAAGAGGGTTATTTATTAAATATTCCTTCATTCTTTCAAACATGTATTGAGCCTCTATTATATTTTAGAGACTGTTGAGGCACTGGAATGACAAGATTAAATCTGAGAAAGGACCCACTGACTTTGGTCTCAATATTCATTAAGGGAGCCTATAAAATGGTCTGTTATAATTTAGTGAGAAAAGTAATTTGTTCAGAAGGCTATGGTAACAGGAGTAGAACCTAGCATAGATTAGGAGTGGCCAGAGAACACTTCTCAGAAGCTGAGCTAGAAGCAGGAGAAAGAGTTAGGCGGGTGGTTGGGTAGAGGTGACCAGCTTCTGGTTAAAGGCTTTTGGGCCCTCTGATGCTGTCCCATGTTTCCATCCATTAGTCTTAGTTTTTCTCCAAAGATACAAAGAATAGCTGATCTGTATTATTCACATCAACATTTTAAAATTGATTTTAGAGAGAGGAAGAAAGAGAGAGAGAGAGAAAGAAACATTTATGTGAAAAAGAAACATCAATCGGTTGCCTCCCCCACACACCCTGACCAGGGATCAAACCCACAACCCTGACTGGGAATTGAACCCACATCCTTTTGGTGTATAGGATGATGTTCCAACCAACAGAGCTACACCGGTCAGGGCTCATATCAACATTATATATATATATATATATATTTGAAGATGCTGATCATTGTCTCTCTTAAATGTTCTGTTTTTCTGGCCAAAAATGTCCCAATTCTTTGTTCTTTGTATAGATTAATAACACATTTGTAGAATATAATTTGCTCTTTGTAGCACAGTTCATACACATGACATGGTGCTTACTTCATTTGATGTCCCTGCCTTTGTGAGGGCTGGAGGAATTGTCCTTTCTTTACTGATGAGGAAACTAAGGCTACTAGTGGCAAAGTGGCTACTCAAAGTCACTCAACTAGGGAACCAGAATGCAAACCTACTTTCATGGCGACAAATTGTCTCCACTACAACATCCTTCTGTGTCTGACTTCAAAACTTATTTATCCTCATCTGCATAACTTTTACTTTGTTAAATCCCTTTCACTATACCCCAGAATGCTGTCCTTACGACTGGATGTTATTCGTGCACCTGTGTGTTGTCTGACTGTGTATAGCATGCACAGACTTTATCTTATTTGGGATTCTCATTCTATTTTTGATAGAACAGAACTTATTTCTGAGTCTGGAATGCCCTGTTTTCTTCAGTGGCCAGTCACTGTGCTGGCACATGCCAAGCTTATGGCCTACTATTTCATGAGGTAGTTATAAAGATTAAAATTCAGATAATGCTTGCAAAGCATTTAGCACACAGCATCAATAATGTTAGCTCTTACTTTTATTATAAATATCACTAAAAATTTCCATGAACTACTGTCAAGTTAGGTCACAGTGCATAATAGGGGCAGAGCAGGAAATAACTCCTGAAATTGTTTCTTTCCTGCATCACTGAATGTTAGTTGTAGAAAAGAAATTTTAGAGGTCATTTCATTCACCTCTCTCATTTTTTTGGATGAGGATACTGAGAGACCCAGAAGTTTTAAACATCTTTCTTGAAGATATAGATGGATGGATAGAGAGACACAGACACAGACACAGACACAGATATAGATATATAGATATAAAGAAAGGAAAAGATGTCTTTTGATTTTTTTGTTTGTTTATTTTGTAACAAAGATGCCCTTTAGTTCATTATTTTTAATTTGTTTTGTAAAATAGGAGAGAGGGATTGAAGATTCTGAACAAACTTATATCATACCAACACTGCTGTGACCTCACATGGTTTTTTATATATATGTTTTTTTAAATATGTTTTCATTGATTTTTTTAAAGAAAGAGGAAAGGAGAGAGATAGAAACATCAATGTGAGAGAGATACATTGATCCGCTGCCTCCTGCATAGCCCTCACTGGGAATTGAGCCCGAAACCCGAGCATGTGCCCTGACCAGGAATTGAACCAGGACCTCTCAGTCCATGGGATGAAGCTCAATCCACTGAGCCACACCAGGCGGGCTATATATATGGTTTAATTGATTTTCTAGAGAGAGAGGTAGGGAGAGAGAGATAGAAACATTGATGTGGGAGAGAAACATTGATCGGCTGCCTCCTGCACGGCCCCTGCTGGGGATGCAGCCTGCAACCTGGGCATGTGCCCTGACCAGGAATTGAACCGAGACCTCTCAGTCCATGAGAGTACCCTCAATCCACAGAGCCACACCAGCTGGGCTCATATGGATTTTTTAAAGACTGTGTTCAGGATGCCATATCGCCGAAATACAAATCACACTAATGAAGTTTTGGAAACATTTCAGCCTAGGATAGCAGCAATGTCCACACAAGTTCCTTAAAAACAGGGACTTCTTCTTAGCTGCATTTGTGCCCCTAGCACCTATCACAGCTGTGGCGAAGAATGGGTACTCTGTCTACGTTTCTGAGTGAGCTGATGCCCAGTGGATGCTGAGTCAATCTATTTCTCACTCTCTCCTGCTTATCTCCATCTGTCTCCCTTTTGTCCCATCCACTGGGAGGGCTAAGCATTTTGGCTCTTTTAAAATGAGAATGGCTTCTCAGAATCCCCTCACAGTCGCTGAGTGTCAGGACTATCCCCCAAAGTCCCATTCCCACTCAGTTCTTTGTTATGGCACATGTTTTAACCCAACAGCAGCCTGTCCTCTGCCTTCTCATATCCATTTGGCTTTTGTATTTGTGCAGGGGTGTCCCTGGGTGTGTATGCAGCTGGGTCTGATGAACCTGGCCCAGAAGGCCTCACCTCCACCTCCCTGATGGACCTTCTATTGCCCACTGGCCTGGAGCGGCTGGACTCAGAGGAGCCCAGTGAGGCCATGGGACTGGGAGCTGGCCTGGGAGCCCCTGGGTCCGGCTTCTCCAGTGAAGACAGTGAAGAGTCCCGAATTCTGCAGCCACCACAGTACTTCTGGGAAGAGGAGGAGGAGCTGAATGCCTCTAATCTGGACCTGGGACCCACTGCAGGTAGCTCTTCTTACCTAAGAGTATGTATATGCTAATTGCAGCTGAGTATGAGGCAGTCTTGGCAAAATGCCAAAGGGCCATTTCCTTGCTCAAATCACATCATTTCTCTCTCTCTTCACCAGCTTTTTCTGTGTATCAAAGCCAAGTTTCTGGGATTCTGAATGTCTTATTTGCTCAGGAGGCCCTTTTCTCTTAAATATTTACTGCTATTTAGTGACCCTGCATTCTGTGTTAATACTATTAACCCCATTTTACATGTGAGAAAACTAAGCTTACAAAGGTTAAAAGCATGCTTACGGTCATACAACTATTTATATGTTCAAGTCATGATTCAAGCTGAGGTCTGGGGTTTGTTTGTTTGTTTGTTTTTCTGTACGGTGCTGTATTGTCTTTGTTGAAAGTTCCCAGAGGGCCACACATGCCATGTCCTGCCTTAAGTCTGCTGGCCCCATCAAAGTGTTCTCACTGCCCTGCCCTCAGTCAGGGACCAGAGCTAGTTTCTGGACTTACAGAACATGGATGATGGACATGTAGGACCTGGGCTCAGCACGAATGCACATACCACGGCTGGTTACAGATGCAACAGAGCTTCCATGCTTCTAGCTAAAGCAGCTGGCATATGTCTTTGGCCAGCAGGAGTTCATTTGAAATGTTAGACTGTCAAATTGTGTGTGTGTGTGTGTGTGTGTGTGTGTGTGTACATGCATGCATGCACGTGGGGTGGGATGTTACAAAATTTATCCTTAATTTTTCTTTTTAAAATGTATAATATTTTGGATTCATCTTCTCTAATTATAAAAATAATCTATTGAAATTATAAAAAATATGAAAATACAAAAACAGTACAAATATAATAAAATCCTCCCATGATCTCACAACTAAAAGACAATTACTACTAATAATAGTTTGGAGTACATCCTTCTAATTACTTTTATATGCAAAATTGGAATCACAGGGGACATAATGTCTTTACTTAAAATATTTCATAAATGAATTTCCACATCATTAATAGTCTTTTATAACCTGATTTTTTTGTTGTTGTTAATCCTCACCTGATGATATTTTTTCATTAGTTCTTAGATAGCGTGGAAGGGAGGGAGGGGGAGAGAGAAAGAAACATCAATGTGAGGAAGACACATCGGTTGGTTGCCTCCTGCACAACCACAACCAGGGCTGGGGCTTCAACCTGCAACCCAGGTACATACATATGATGAACCACATGATGAAATACTATGTAGTCATTAAGAATCAGATTATAGCCCTGGCCAGTTTGGCTCAGCGGTTAGAACATTGGCCTGCAGACTGAAGGATCACAGGTTTGAATATTTAGGTTATTTTTAATTTTAATGCTGCTATAAATATCGTCATATGTTATTGTACTTTTTTGATTGTTTAGATAAATTTGTAAAATAAAACTGCTGGGTCTAAAGGTGTGTCAGTCCGCATCCCAGCCACAAACTTAAGACATGATCAAACTAAGTTAATCTAAGGAGAGTTTATTTATAGAGCAGTGAATTTACAAAGGTATGAGCATGGCATGGGTGACCACAGAGCAATCCAGGGCCAACAGGAACAGAACTATCAGTGTCCTACACCCAAAGGGACAAGGCAGGGAAGGATGAAAGGAACCTAAAAGGACAGACTGTGGTGGAGATAGGTGGCCAGACAGGAAAGGAACCAGGAGAATAAGGACTCAACTTCCCTTCTCCTATCTCCTGCCAAGACCCCCCTAATTATCCCTTCTCCTTTGCCCAGGAGTCAGTTCAGGAAGCAAGGCATAGCCTGTTGATATAATCCACTGGATCCATTTTCTTGGGCAAAGGCAGGGTAGAAAAGGGTAGAGATTGGATCTGTAGGGGATGGTGCATGCCTGACACAAAGGATGTGAATCTTTCAACAGGGTCTTGTTTAGCATTTGCAAATCACCCTCTAGAAAGGTGAGTCCAGTTTGCATACCCACCAGAGATATAGTGAATGCCAGTTTTTTGAACCCTTCCCACCACTGAATTTTGTTAATTTGATAAACAAGATTATAATGGTCTTTGATTATTAGTAAATTTTAACTTATATATGTATATATTCATATACATATATATGTACATATTCTATATTGTCTTTTTCTATATATGAAATATACATATTCTGTCCATTTATAATATTCCTATTTGATTTGAAGTATAGTGTAATTAACAGAACAGGTTTGTATTCAGGCAGATTCCACAGTTCCAACACTACCATTGAACAGCTGTGTGATTTTTTGACAACAACTTAAGCCTCAGTTTTATCATCTAAAAAATGGGGATAATAGTAGTATTGTTATGAGAAAAATCAGTGGGCCAGATTTCCCCATCACTCCTGGTACCACTGAAATAAGCATTTTCAGAAGCCTCCACGAGAGAATGAGATGTGGCAAAATATTTTATTTGCATGGAGTTACATTTCATGGGTTGCAGAGTCCCATGTCCCTTGGTCCAGTCCTGAAAGAAGGGCAGCTATGTGTTCAGCAAAGCTAGAAGCAGGGCCAGTGTCCAGAGTTCTGTGGTGGAGCTGGGTCTGATATAGAGCATCAGGCTAGTCACAGTCCATGAGTTCATTATGGGGGTGCCACATGGCCATGAGCTATGAGGGCGAATGCAGGGAAATGTTTCCCATGTAACTAGAGTCCCAAGAGGGCCAGGAGAACCAAGAGGCTAGAAAGAGTAACTCCCTTTGTCTAGGAGTTTAAATATTCAGGTTTCATGCCCTTGCACTGGCCACAATTATTCTGGCCACTAATTTGTTCCCAAGTGTGACTGACAAGTAGGCACCTTCCACGTCACCCAAACCTTACTGGGCATGCGTCTAAACTGTCTTTGTCCAGTCCTTTCCCCCATCAATCTCTGAGGAACAGACTTGAAAAGTCTTAAACTATAGCTTTCTGACAAAGCTATATAAATGGCACGCCTATATTATGTGGTCTTCCCTTTATTCTTCTCCTGTTAAATAGTAACTAGATTATTATAACAGTGTCAGTATCATAGGGTTGTGAGATTTATATGAAATCATACATTTAAAGTGCTTAACATGGAGCTTGGCACATTGTAAGTCCTCTGTAAATATTAGCTACTTTTTATTTTTTTCTACAGAGGCTTTAAATTTTTATCATTTTACACATTTTCATATAAAAAGGATTCTAATGTTCGGCCAGTGTGGTTCAGTGGATTGAGTGTCATCCCATGGACTTAGAGATCCTGGTTCAATTCCTGGTCAGGGCACATGCTTGGTTTGCTGGCTTGATCCCTGGCAGGGGTCATGGAGGAGGCAGCTGATAGATGTTTCTCTTTCACATCGATGTTTCTATCTCTCTCTCCCTTCTTCACTTTCTAAAAAATCAAAACATATTTTTAAAAAAGGATACTAATAATTTCTCTGACATATATTAAAACATTTTTCTGGTTTGTCAATTACCTTTATATTTATTATAGTAATTATATATATATATAAATTTAATTTTTATACGCTTAAAACAATCTTTCTTTTTAAATGTTTGTCTTTGCTTTATGTTTAGAAAAACCTTTCCCTCCCTGAGATATATGCACCTTTATTTTTTCTATTCTTTTTGGGCCTGATTTTTTATATTTTATTCTAACTGTAATTTATTCTGGTGTGTGGTGTAAGATAGGTTCTAATTCATTTTCCCCATACGTATATATAACCTATTGCTGCAGCAGCCTCCAATGATGTCTGTCCTCTCACCATTGAAAATAAATTCCACTTTTACCTGTACCAGACAATTATATGTACTTAGTCTTTCTCTGGGCTTTTCCTTTTGTTCAAACTATGGAGAGTCTAGTCTAAGACAAGCAGTCACTTAGACCTTCCTCAGGATCACAGCAGGAAGGCCCTGGTTTTAATAAACTCAGATTTGCTTTGTACCCCTCCCCACTTTGTTTCCCCTTCTTTTTCTCTCACTTCCTCTTTTTTTAAATCCCATTGGCTTCTTTAGATGTCATTATAATAAAAATACCTATTATTTCATTGAACACAAGCCATGTAATGGGCACTTTTCATGCATTCTCCTGCTCTTGCTAGGTCCACAACGTACCAGCTTCACAACACAGGTCTGTTTTCCTATCTCTACTGTACATACCTGAAGAACTGTGAGGTAGGGACACAAATGCCCTCCAAGAGCAGGTGCAGGAAGGAGAGCTGCTTTTGTCCAGACTCCTTCATTGCTCATCTTTTCATTGGTGTGCTTCCCTACAGCAAGAGCTTTGCCCAAGGTCACACAGCTTGTGTGCAGCAGAGCTGAGTCTAGAATCATTGTCCCCTGAGCAGTGGCATCTATGGACCTGGGTTCTTGCCATGGGAGCACGTTGATGGTATGTGTTAGAGAGGAGACCTCTCTACATTTTTTTAAATTGGAAAAAATATGGAATGCTTCATGAATTTGAGTGTCATCCTTGCACAGGGACCATACTAATTTCTGTGTCATTCTAATTTTAGAATATGTGCTGCCAAAGTGAGGACGGAAACTGGTACATTTTATTGTTACTAATATTATTATACTTCAAATTTCTAATTTGTTAGGCTTTGAAGAACTAGAGCTGGTGCCTTTCTTCTCCTTCTGTAGCAGAGGTCTTGGGGTGCAGGGGTCCAATGGCAAAAATAGCTCGTGGAGTTTCTGCTTGACTGATGAGGACTGCGTTCATTTTCTAATCTTGGCTTCAGTCTCTTTATCTGTGAGACCATGGGAATGATAGATTGAAGTCTTTTCCAGCTTTAAAATATTATGATTCTCTGATATTTCATTTGAAAAAATGTAGTCTCAACAAAGTAGGAAAAACTAAATGTAATGTAAACTTATCACTCTACCAGCTAGCATGAAGCCAGCATAATGCCAGATCAGTTAACTTATGCAGCATTGTTAATGATTAAACATATATTCTCAGGTTACCTATTCATCTCAAGACTGTCTCTGTTGTCACCCTGTACTCCTTTTATTTTCAAAGCTCCTTAATAAAATTCTCTGCAAGCAATTTTAATTTCCTCAGTGAACAAGCTAATTGGTGTTCTACAAAAAAAGAGATAACTCTTTGTGATTGGCAAGTACTAGAAACCCTACTCAAACAGGCACATAGGTGTTTTCTAGCTTAGTAACTGCAGAACTCCAAGCAGGTGGGGTCCCGGGGTTGAACCTGAGTCAGAGCCTGCCTTGCTCCACCGTGCTTCATTCTTAGGCAGGCTATTTTGTATGGTGGCTTCGAGAGCCTCCAGTACCTGTACTTTTATTCTTTTTTCACTCAACAACCCCAGCATAAGACAACTCTGCCTTTCCATCACTTTTGGAAAAATTTAGAGGGGAAGCTCATCAGTTTGGTCTGTGTCATGAGCCCATCTCTGAACCAATCCTAAGGCCATGGGGACAGAGTTCTCTCACTGGCTCAGAGTGGGTCTTGAATTCCCCTTAAGCTACGTGGTAGGGACCCCTACTTCTGGACTAAGAAGAGGGGAGGAGTGTCTCCCAAAGGAGAATTGAGGTGCCATTAATCAAAAGATGGGAATGAAATGATGGTTGGGCATAAACCACATTGCAGCTGAGTAAAGAACATAAAGTGTTTATATTTTATAAATTATTTTCACATTTGTTTTTTTTTTACCTCACAGCAACCTGATGAAATTTGTAAAAGCATGACTGATTAGTATCACTGCTGTATAGATAAGGAAACTGGCTAAGAGAGGTTTAAAAGTGGCACTACATTACACAGGCAATAATAAATGGCAGAGCTAAATCTCAAATCTGAGATTTCTACTTCAAGATCTGCTGCTCCTTCTCTATATGAAATCATTCATGAAAGTACTTTTATTACTATTGCCTATAATGAATTTTGTGGAAACCAAATTGTCAAAGTGGCTGTCTGCTGGGACCTAGGCATGGTTTCTATACAGTTAATCTTTGTTGAGATTGTATTTGCTATAGAATGATTTAACCTTCTGAGTCAGGCAAGAGGAGGACCAGTTGACAGAAGCACTTTTGCCTAGACACCAAAAAAAAATTTGTTTTTGTTTTATGCTAGTGATAAATATCATTATATGAAAATTAGAAAAAGCAAAAAAGTTTAAAGAAGAAAATAAAAACTACCTATAATCCTATCACCCAGACTTAACAAATGTTAGCATGTTGTATAACTTTCTGAACTTTCTCCATTTAAGAAATATATAAAATATGCTTTTACCAAAATAAAAAAATTTAAAAAATGGAATTATAGTGTACAGAGCTTGCTGTTTCAGTTACCAACAGCTTTCTAAGCCAGTAAACACAGCTTTCCAACCTCATCTGTAGGGCTGAACTACAGTATCTCAAGTGATGGGCTCCCATTTCTCAGTCTACCCCCTGCTGTGTGAGAGCTGGGTAGTTTCCAGTCTTTGTTATGTGAACTGTGCCATGATGGCAATTCTTAAAAGCAAATTGTTATGGACATCTGTAATTGTTTCCTTAGGGCAAACTTCTAGAAGTGAAATTGTGGGTTCATAATGTATGTTTTCAAAGCTTTTCATTCATATTGTGCCCCCTCCAAAATGTGGCCTGATTTCTGTTCCAGTCAGTACTGATTCAATAATGGCTATTATATATATATTCAAGTTGGTAGGCCAAAAATTTATCATTTTGTTTAATTTACATTTCTTTCATGACAACTGAGATTGACCATTAAAAAGTAGTTTTTAGACATCAAAATTACAACTAAACTACAGAACAATTATTATTCAGAACTGCCTCACATTCAAAACTGCTGAATGGAAGTCCTACAACTACAAAATTAAACAAGAAGCTACATGAAGACTGGTAGGAAGGGCAGAGACATGGATGGGCTGGTCCTACACCCACCTGTGTTGGATAAAAAATTAGGAGGGATACCTTGGCTGTGAAGGTCCTCCCTGAAAAGTGGGGGGTGGTCCCCGTCCCACACCAGGCCCCCCAGCTCAGGGTTCCAGTGCCAGGAAGAGAAGTCCCCATAACTTCTGGCTGTAAAAACCAGCAGGAAGTGAGGCTCAGGGAGATGGAGGCTTCTGGAGTCCCAGGCAGTTCCTCTTAAAGGTACCAAGCATGGATTTACTCAGACTCACTCTCTCCAGGCTCCAGCATGGGAGAGGCAGCTTGAAAGGTACCAGAGACATACAGGAAAGAACTGAGTTGTTTGGCATCGGGGCGAGAGCTGGAGAAGCAGCTTTCTCCTGGACAGATGTGCTGGTGAAGGTTGTTGTTCCTTTGGAGAACTCTTCCCCCATGGGGTCAGTAGATGGGTGCTATATCTGAAACTCTAGCAACTTGGCTTACACTGTTTGCCCCACCCTGGTGATTCCCTGAGGCCCTGCCCCATCCAATTTTCAGGCCCACCCTAGCTGTTTCCAGTGGCTTTACCATAGTATTGGCCTGTTGTGGCTCCTGCTTCAGATTTTCCTAAATTCTCTCAAACAAACAGCATCTGGCCTCAGCAAGCCCCATACCTTTATCTAAGTGGCCCAGGCTTGGTGCTAGAAGCAGCTAGCCTTGGTTCACAACTTGTCTGTGCCTGGCCACTTCCAAACCCAGCACAAGAAGCAGCCATCTGCAGATTGCTTTATGGCTTATGCCTGGTGGCCCCAGGTAGAACACAGGCAATGGCTGACCTTGCCCCAGAGCCAGCACACCCAGTGGACAGCTTCAGATCACGTTGAAGTGCCACTATCCAACCACCTCCACAAGTGGCACACTTAGTGAATGAACTCAGTGAGTACCAGAGCTCTGGGGAAGCAACTCTTGCTCTGTGCGGTGGGCCCCAGCACAGCTGATCCTTCAAGGTAGTCAGAGGTCAGTGGTCAGTGGTCAGTGGGCACAGCCAGTCCTTGCAGCAGATCAGACTGAGTATATCCCTCTCATTGATGTGCCAACAGCAGTCAAGACTCAATTACAACAGAAGGGTGTACAGTCCACACAAGGGGTGCACCTTGAGGGCCCAGCTGGGGTGATAAGGGAGGCTGTGCCACTGGATTCTACAGGACACCTACTCCAATAGGCCACTCTACCAAACCTAGGAGACATAGCAACTCTACCTAATACATAGAAACACACACAGGGAGGCAGCCACAATGAGGAGACAAAGAAACATGTCACAAATTAAAGAACAGAACAAAACTCCAGGAAAAAAACTAAATGAAATGGAGATAAGCAATCTAACAGATGCAGAGTTTAAAACACTGGTTATAGCCTTTTTCGGTTTGGCTCAGCAGTTAGAGCATTGGCCCGTTGTCCAGAGAGTCCCAGGTTCAGTTCTCCTAAGGGCACATACCTCGGCTGCAATTTGTCTCTGGCCCCAGTTAGGGTTGTGCGGGAAGTGGCCCACTTGATGTGTCCCTTTCACGTCAATGCCCCCCCCCCCCACTCTATCTGAACAAAAATGGAAAGATGTCCTCGGGTGAGGATAAAACAAACAAACAAACAAACAAAAAACTGGAAGCCCTGAATAAAAAGGCTTAGTTTCCTACCCACTTATTGTTCTGTCTGCCTAAGAGAAGAGACAAACATTTTAACTTAAAAATAACTGCCAATGCAGGGCCCCCAAATATCATCAATTTTTCTGTCTCTCTGCTTCCATCCCTCCCCTTTCCCATCTGTAAAAAAAAAACAAAACAAAAAAAAACTGGTTATAAGGATGCTCAGTGAACTTAGTGAGGGCCTCAAGAGCATAAAAAAGACCAGTCAGAAGTGAAGGATGCACTGACTTAAATAAAGAATAATTTACAGGGTATCAATAGTAAAGTAGGAAAAACCAAGAAGCAAACAATTGACTTGGAATATAAGGAAATAAAAAACAACCAGTCAGAACAGCAAAAAGAAAAAAGAATCCAAAAAAATGAGAGTGTAAGGAGCCCCTGGAATAACTTCAAGTGTACCAGCATTCACATAATGGGGGTGCCAGAAAGAGAAGAGAGACAACAAGAAATTGAAAACGTATTTGAAAAAATGACAGAAAACTTTTCCTAAAATGGTGAAGGAAACAGACATACAAGTCCAGGAAGCACAGAGAGTCCCCAAAGAGGCTCACAACAAGACAAATCATAATAAAAATGCAAAAGGTTAAAGACAAAGAGAGAATCTTAAAAGCAGCCAGAGAAAAGCAGTTAGTTACATACAAAGGCGCTCCCATAAGATTGTCAGCCGATTTCTCAAAAGGACTTTACAGGCCATAAGGGAGTGGCAAGAAATATTCAAAGTGATGAAAAACAAAGACCTACAACCAAGAGTACTCTATCTTGCAGTGCTATCATTTAGAATCAATGGGCATACACAGAGATTCTCAGACAAGAAAGAGTTAAAGGAGTTCATCACCACCAAACCAGTATTATATGAAATGTTGAAAGGTCTTCTTGAAGAAGAAGATAAAAAATATGGGCAATAAAATGACAATACATACATATCTATCAACAATAGAAGCTACAAACCAAATGAGCAAGCAGAATAGAAACAGACTCATAAATGCAGTGAACCTTTT